GTCACGCGTCTCGTGGTGTCGATCATAATCACAGCATCAGAGTTTGTGGCGAGATTAATGAATGTTGCTGCTCGTGTTGTCTCACCTGTGTGACTGATGCAGTCCTTGAAAGATGATGCCATAGAAGGCTGCTTGCTCTGAACACTGGATTTTTTTGTCTAATGAAGTGATAAAAGGTAGATTTAAAAAAATCGTGTTTTTTTTTGTATATATATCTTTTTTTTGGAAGCCAATCGTTTCTGAACTGACACTATATCAACTCGCTACACTTGAGAGTCTGGTTTTAACGTGGGTCGCGGTGTAAAGCAATGGATGTCAACCCAGACCGTCAGCGTTTGCCAGCGCAGTGTGTGCTGACGTGGCGTTTAGCCGTGTGAACCACAACCGAATGTGGACCTCACATGACGGTCGTAGTTACCATTTTATTTATCCGGCCAGGCGGCTCAGAAGTACAGCGAATGGCTAGCAAGTGGAAGTATGCAAGTTCTAGTCCTGGTTGTGAGGGGGGGGGGGGTGCGGGGGTGCATTAGCTCATCATTTCTCCATGGTCGTTAAAACGAGTACCACCTTCTTTGTGGGGAATCCCAAAAGTGATTGTCCTATGGGAGAAAAAAACGTGCCCCCGCCATAGGAATGTGGAATTTCCACCACTGGCTCTGCAGGGCTGTAAAGAAGAGATGAACACCATTCACTTCAATGGGTTATTGAGTGAGAGAGTAGGTATGTGAGTGAATGAGTGGGTGAGCGAGTGAGTTGATGTAACCTTTAGGGTAGAGGGTGGTGGTGGTTGAACAGTGAGTCTGGCAGACCGAGGCCTCAATAAGGAATCAATGAGTGCAGTTCACTGGAACAGTCACCGTAGTAGTAGCAATACAAGTGTGATATCAAGACAACACTGCACAGATGGATGTAGTAATCCTGCAGTCTCCTTGCCAAGCCATAGTCCGATGTGTTCTTTTTGGTTAGTTTCACAAATCTGTGCGAACCACCACGCCCGCCCACGTCGGAAATTATTTGTTGGCAGCCTTACACACGCGTCTCACCGCAGAAAATTACTTCTTTGAGTTTTTGAGGTGAACAGTCACGTGCTGCGAGCAGCTGTAATTTGCACGCTTGATTGTGATCACACGCGCTGCCGGAGGCTATGCACTCGGCGGGTTTTTTTTTGGTTTAATATTTTTCGTTATTGTAATAACAATTAATGATGTAATAATAAATTAAGTTCACGTGAATGCGGTGTTCTTGGAAGAAGCTGTGACCCAGCCACTTCTTCGGAGATGAGGGCACCAAAGTGTTTTTTTGAAGGCCGAAACGCCGTGCGAGGCTACAAGAGTTGGCGTCTGCATTTCTGTACCAATCATAGAGTGTTCGGAACCTTCGAGCCAACCGAGCAGCGTTTTGTGTAACAAGCCATCGCTAAAATCACAACCAAAATCTACAAGACATCCTCTTTGGAGACCGCTCGAAAGAAGAAAAATGCGTGGCTTACCAAGGTGTTCTAAAAACCTATTGGTCACTAGGCTGAGCCCGGCGGCTATAAGAGGGAATTCACCACACTGGTTCCGTCATGGGTTCGTGAAGAGGTCAAGGCAGATCCAGGGCCGGTTCAAAGTGCACGCATCACCCAGCACCCGATTGTTAGCCACAATCGAATTCAATTCCCACAGGGTTCACAGCTAGGCGTGCCGACCACAGCTACAGCGTGTTTAATTAAAAACGTTGTTGCGTGTTGCTTATATTGTAATTTATTTGGGCATTACGTTCCCACCTTCCCTGAGGTACGATGACGCTTTTGTTTGAATATCCCTCCCAGCCAAGAAGGCACTCCTCGTGTTTTTCACCCCATAAATGACATCATGCCCCGAATCTGGTATTCGACTATGATCCCATCGTTTCGATCGGGCGCTCTTTGCTCGTGACGTGTGATTAATCCAGCGGAGTTTGTTTAACCAACTTGACTTTGCCGATGGGATCCGGAAGGTCGAAACCGGTTCCAGAGTTGGCTTGCTTAAAAACTAACATCGATAATACTGGTCTGAAAAGCCTGATATTTTACAAAAAATACGTGTGTGTTTATGGGAGGAGACTAGTTACCAACTGCCCGGGTTTGACCTAAACAGTTCCGGTATCAGCAGTTGCGTTCGGGTGACAGGAATGATTTTTACCAAGATCTGGGGGCTTGGGTTGAACTTTATTACTGTAAAAAAAACTGCACAGGTCTAGACTGATTGGGAAATATTGCTGTGGTTTGGTTTGTGGAAAAGGTGAAAAAACCTACTCCTCACTCAGTCACCCACTCATTCACGGACTCTTTACATTAAAATGCCACTTAGTAACTCACTGACTCACTCACTCACTCAACCTCCCACGCACCCTATGGGTTCCACCTGTCCAGAGTTTCATTCACCTGGACAATTTCCGAATGGGAATCCAACATTCGGGGTAAATGTATCATAAGGCGAACAGTGGTCACCTTTTGGCGTTATCTGCTCTGGCACTCGTGAGACTAGGCCAGGGGTCGGCAACCAAAATAACAAGAAGAGCCATTTCTTTCCAATTCGGTACAAAATTCTGTATTTAAAGAGCCGCAATGCATCTGAGTACATACGTACATATCGTCATGAAGCAGCCCGTAAAGAGCCGCATGCGGCTCTGGAGCCATAGGTTGCCGACCCCTGGACTAGGCCATAAAGATGGCTGCTGTCTCTAGTGTCGGCTAATCGGTTTCAAAGACAATGCATGAATTATCAGAGTATGTTTGCATGCTAACCACAAGTACGCGTGGTTATTGCAGACTTGAATCCTTGCCACAGCTATCTATTTAGTGTTTAAACATCTGAACACCTCCTGTTTTTTTGCCAGAAAGTGTAAAACCTATTCGAATTTTTCATACTATGATACTGGCAAAAACGGTCCCATGATATAGGAGTGGGTATGTTTGGTCTGTCGATAAGTGGCAGTCCTAGTCTGGAGACAGAATGGAGTTCGACTTATGTTTGATTTTTCCCTACAACAGTGGTTCTCGGAGTGTGGGCCACGGCACCACCGGTGTTCAAGTTCAAGTTCATTTATTAGGTAGAGTCATGTGAGAAATTCGGCTCTTGAATCGGGTGCAACCGTTACAAACAGAAAAAAAAACATGAACAAAAAAACATCTTAAAGTGACTATGTGCAAACAGAAAATCCAAGAAAAGACAGAAACATATTGCAGAAAAAGCACCGTACACCAACACTGTGTGCAAAAATCCCAGTGGGATGCAAGTCAAACAACAACAACCACCACAAGACAACTTAGATTAAGGCCATCAGTCTAACTCTGTACTACAACAAACAAACATGGCTAAGCCAATACACTTTTCGAAATCACCAAAATAAAGCCATGAAAGCAATGAAAAAGCAATCATAGGAACTGGTCTCCGATGGTCCTCTAGGTCAGCGGTCCCACACCGCTCTCACTTTCCTGCTGCTGTGCAGCCTGGTTCCTAACAGGCCACGGACCGGCATCGGTCCGCGGCCCAGGGGTTGGTCCCACTAGTGGCCGTGATGCAGGGTTGATTTGGAAAAATGATGACAACGTTTATTATCTTCTTGGTTCTTTCGGTAAAGTCACGTAGAATGGAAATAATAAAATAATAAAAATAAAACATAATAAAAAGACTGTCTACTCGACAGACCTGCTCTCCACCTGAGGACGGCTGCTTGCGTTGTGGCCGAAACGTCGTGAGAATTATTTTATTATGTTTTATTTTTATTATTTTATTATTTCCCTTCTACGTGACTTTACCGAAGGAACCAAGAAGATGAATCCCTGCAGTCACGAAAGCTTTAAATCTAACGTTTATTATACCTTTTGTTTGAGCTGTGAATTACTATTTTTCTCACGATATGAAAAAAAATGAAGTTAGCTAACCAGCCTAACCCTAAAAACGTAATGCTGCGTCAAAAAAAAACGAATGCTACGGTAATATAAAAGTGTTGCATGGCTACTGATATTTAGAGAGATAAGTGAATGTGTTTTGTCACCAGGGGCGGGGGTTTGGGTGAGGGGTGGGGGGAGTTGTGTGGTCCGCAGAATGTTTGCATTCCCTGAGCGGTCCACAGGACCTAAAAGTTTGAGAAACACCGCCTCTATTATCACCCACGGGGTTCGACTTACGGGTGGGGACCCATTGTGCATTGATTAGTATCCATTATCCATTGCTTTAGATTCAGGGTAAGGAACCATAACACTGGTCAACAAAAAAAAAAACATGTTTTTCTGGCCTGGACTTTTGCAGCTGTTCTCGACTAATTTCAGGGTGCTGATTCCATATCTGATCTCAGATTTGCTCTATCACATCTCATTTTTATGCTATCGGCATACCCCATTTTCATTGATTTTACCCGAAATTAACTCTGTCACTTATGATTGCAAGTTGTTGCGAGTCAGTGACTGCTTTAGTGTTACAATATGGTGCTGTGTTTTTAGGATAATGTGTTTATAATATCATTTTATGTAGATATCCACATTTATTTAATATTTTCTTCTGCAATTTTTTTTATTGCAAGTGCAATATTTGATATCTCAAAAACCTGATGTGATAGACAGAAACTGGTGCCAGATTTGGAATCAGCACCCCAAATTTACCTTAAAACCGTTGGAATACCTTATGCCAGAAAAAGTGTGTTGACCAGTGTTATCCATGGGTTATCCATTTTGCATGGGTTATTATCCATTATATATGGGTTTAGACTCACGGGTGAGGAGGCATTATCTATTATCCATCGGTTATCCATTATCTATGAGTTATTATCCATTATCCATCAGTTATCCATTATCTATGGGTTATGCACCATGTGTTCTTCATTATCCAAAGGTTATAGACTCACGGGTGAGGAGGCATTATCTATTATCCATCGGTTATCCATTATCTATGAGTTATTATCCATTATCCATCAGTTACCCATTATCTATGGGTTATCCACATGTGTTCTTCATTATCCAAAGGTTATAGACTCACGGGTGAGGATAACGTGGCCTGACGGAACACTCTTCGGGATGTCCGCACAGACGTGGCTCACGGCGAATCCCGGCCGGCAGCCGCCATCACGTGACGAGGCCTGCTGAGTGACGTCAGCAGAGGTTGTGGATTAGAGAAATGGACAGTGTACGGCAAAACAGAATTTACTCTTTACGTAACTTGTATCGTAATAGAGGGGTTTTTCCCCCTTTTAATGGCAACAAAACTGACACTTTTTACAAGGAATCATGTGTGCATTAACCACAATACTTGTGGTCAAAATGCAAACAAAAAACACACTCTGATAATATATGCATTGTCCTTGACACTGATTGGTCCACACCAGAGACGGCTTTCTTTTGAGCCTCGTCTCAGTTGGTGCTAGACCAGAAGACGCCAGAAGGCGTACAGCTCAAAGACAATGCACTATCAAAGTAATGAGGGCTCGAGGTGAACATCTACATCATTAGACCTCCTTTGCCAGTACCACAATATAATCATAGGGTTTTTCCCCTTTCTTTCTGGCAACAAAATTCTAACAAAAAACACACTGATAATATATGCATTGTCCTTGAAGCGTTTAACGTGCCAGCTGTTATTGTTTTTGGCTTACTTGCCGGTGAGTTACTTGGAGAACAATTATCACCACCTAATTCGGTGGTGAGATACGCGACGTTGAACTTGAAGTCGGCAATACGTGTTGACAAATAGCGATTGTGCGTAAGTGGCACAAGGGAATCCGTTGCAGCTATGAAGCAAAAGCCAGCAGTCAATCATCACCATGTTTCAGAGAACAGCCCAGGATGAGTATGTTGTCACGGAACGAAATCTGCAGTCACCTTCAGCTCTCACCCACTTTTTGGTTACACCTTTTTTTTAAATCCTTTATATTAAGTTCACTTGCTTGCTTGCTTAGGACCGTGCAAATCTTTCGGTCGTTTTTTTAACCCACTTCCCGTGATCCAATCGAGCTGACATTTTGCACACAGCCTCGTTGTGCGTGACAATTAATGTTCGTGAAATTTTTTCCCAAAATTTTACACTTTTTAGGACAAAAATATTATATTTATTTACCAATTGCTTAATGCTGCCATGCAATCATCTGACCCATAGGTGGCAGCCATCTCAAGCCAGAGGATGAGAGGACTCTAGCCGCCACGCATATAAAGGATTTATAGTGAAAAACTTTGTTTTTACGGGTTATACTTGTTCAATATGTGCCCTGCGGACGGTGTTCATCACACAGGCTATCAAACAAAATATCAACTGGTTACACTGGAGAACACGTATGAAAAAAATCCACATCTTAGTCTACGCCGACTCTATTTGGCCTGTGGGGTTTCTAAGTAATTGTTAAGCGGGCTGAGACTATCAAATTATTACACTTGAGAAACCAGTTTAATCATCTTCTTGGTTCTTTCGGTAAAGTCACGTAGAAGGGAAGTAATAAAATAATAAAAATAAAACATAATAAAATAATTCTCACGACGTTTCGGCCACAACGCAAGCAGCCGAACGTCGTGAGAATTATTGTATTATGTTTTATTTTTATTATTTTATTATTTCCCTTCTACGTGACTTTACCGAAGGAACCAAGAAGATGAATCCCTGCAGTCACGAAAGCTTTAAATCGAAAAATCTGTTTAATCATAATTCAATCTCCGTAGTCTATTGGTCTCTATAATTCTAGATTTGAAGTTTTCGTGACTGTAAAAAATAAAATAAAAAAATAAATCACGACGTTTCGGGCGCACACCTAAGCGGTTGTGCTTTCGCTAAGTTGTCTCCACCTGAAGAAGGACGCTTGTGTTGCGCCCGAAACGTCGTGATATAATTTATTTTATTTTAAATGTTTGCCTATGTGACTTTACCGAAAAAACCAAAGAGTATTGGTCTCTATGTAAGACTATGGGTCTGTCTCTACGTGAGTGTGAGTCTCTATGTGAGTCGATGGGTCTCGATGTGAGTCTGTGGGCACTCTATACGAGTCTATGGGTCTCTGTGCGAGTCTGTGGGTGTCTCTATGAGTCTATGGGTCTCTGTGCGAGTCTGTTGGTCTCTATGTGAGCATAGAGTTTCAATGTAAGGTGACTTGGCTGAAAACATCGGTTAATCACGAAACCCTGATTCGAACCCAGGCTCTTAGTGGTGCCGGCTAAGCACTCTAAACTCTGAGCCACTCAGCACACAATTTGAACATGTAGCCAAATAGGGTGGAGTATAATTTATTTCGTACATTTAAAGAAACAATATGTAATAAATCTGACGTCTCATTAACATGGTAGTGTGCTGGAGGGTTTAATTAGACTCACATAAATTTGAGCCGTGTTTTTTTTTCTTTCTTTTAATTTGGAAAGACGAGGTAATCTCCGCTCTTAGTCCTTGACATTTATCAAAGCCTTTGATCGTCTCTGGCATCACGCGCTCATGTGCTGGGGGCCTCCGTCAATCTGCCAGCCTGGATTTCCAACTTTCCAACTGATAGGTCAGTATGCAGAGCAAAACCCTTGCTAATTCGGCACATAGGGGGCTCTGGCCTTGCCGGATTATCTGCCATGACCTCCTGCCCCGATACATTTGCTTTCCAAATTTGTTTTCCAAACTCATCGCACACTATAAGCATTGACACACACACTGCATCAATTCTATCCTAAACTGTGGATTTGTCTCGCAGACTAAGGGGGCGTCCATAAATGACGTCACGAGATTTTGGACGATTTTTGACCCCCCTTCGTTACACGGCGTCACAAAAAGTCAGACCCCCCCCCTAAAATATGACGTCACAAAGCTCTGCCCCCCCCCCCCGCCAAACCATATTTCCATTTTGAAAATAAAACATGCTTCAAATCGCTTTAAACTATTGTCATCGTAGTGCGTATTTAATGTGGCGCTGCACTCTGATGTTGTAGGAGTGTTGTTATAACAATTAGTGTTGTTATAACAATTCTATATTTATTTAAAGTTGCGCATTTTTATGTGACGTCTCATTTCTCACCCCCCCCCCCCTCGTCACACATCGTCACAAATGTCTGACAACCCCCCTCCCTAGATGCGTGACGTCATTTATGGACGGTCCCTAAAGGATTTATACTTCGGTATCTTCCTATTACTTCTTGATGTATAGGTTTAGACGACATTTCTTTGATGATTGGCTTTGCGCGGAGTGCACAAGCAAGGTCAAGTCGACAGCGACGGGTCTGAACACGCTGGCCACGTGGGTCGACATTGTTTTGGTCGTGGTGAGGGGCATAACTCCACGTGCTGTGCCGAAATTGGACAACTTGCTATGCCAATTCGGCTCATGGTGAACTAACAATACACCGTATCTTCTTGGTTCTTTCGGTAAAGTCACGTAGAATGGAAATAATAAAATGATAAAAATTAAACATGATAAAATACAATTCTCATGACGTTTCGGCCACAACGCAAGCAGCCGTCCTCAGGTGAAGAACAGGTCTGTCGATAAGACAGAGTCAATAAGACAGAGTCTGATCGACAGACCTGTTCTTCATACGGCCCGTAGTTTCGGTCTTATAATGTGTTATTTATGGCTCGCTAGCTCTGTCAGAATAAATACATCATAAAACTCATGGAAATTGAAGGTAGTCTATACAGTTTGTTCAATGTTATCTGACTGAATGAAAGGCAGAATTGCGTTTTTAGAGTTGTTCACGTCTGCCTGAGTAGCGTATATTTGGTTACATTGTCATTTGAAAAAGAAAGGTAATTGCGACATTGAAATTGTTTCATAACAGTGTGTATTTCCACGTAACTTTTGTGGTTAAAACAATGTCAAAAGGAACTATTGGCCCCCGGGCATCTTCACTTTATCAAATGTGGCCCTCTTTGCAAAAAGTTTGGACACCCCTGGTTTAATGTGTAGGGCGAAGTTTGTTCCAACGATGGGGGTTGTCGAGAAGAGAGAGTCTTTTTGACTTTCAAAACATCTTTTATTGCCGCCAGCAGCAAAAAGCACTGGAGGCGATTTCAATGTGAAACACACAAAGTCACCAGCAAACAAATGAAAATAAACGCTACAAATCGACGCGCTGTGGCGCTGAAAGCACCGCGCACAATACAAAACAAAAGTCACGTGGTTGTGGTGTCATCGCGCACGCCACGGAGAAGAAAGAGAGAGAAAGAGAGACAGAGCGACAGCGTGGACTGAGCAATATGAGACGGAGGAACGAAGAGAGGCCGCAACGATTGAGAACGTGGAGGGCGAGAATGCGACGCCGAGAAATGAAAACAAGCGATGGGGCAAAACCACGAAGGGATTTGTAAAAAAATTTTTGGGGGGTTAGGCCGTAGAATAATCTGGCTAGAATGCGCGTTGTGAAACCCCTCCACCACCCGACACAGCCCAACAAACGGCAGTTGTCACCTGGGTGGTGTGCACGCCGAATCGACCGCGTGACAATTAATGGGGGTGAGGGTAGCGATCATCGCGACCGAATTGTGTAACAAATTTTGCGTATCGCTTGCCACTGAGCCAAGCATCGGGCGAGAGACCAGGCATTCAGAATGACCGACACAAAAAAAAACCCTCAAAGAAACCCGCCGTGTATGGCAAAAAACTCAACATGACGAAGCGAACCATAATAGGGTTTTTTTTTATTTGGGTTCGAACCTGTAAATATAAATGTGTCGTGAAACCCGCCACCACCTGACACAGCCAACTAGTAAGGGTTGTGTCACGTCAATCAAACGTGGCTATTCAATCCTAGCTCAGTACACCGGTGTGTTGGAGAGTAAACCCATGACATCGACATTTCGAGTACGACGTTTCACCGGCAATTTACAACAGGCATCATCAGGTGACAGCCAGAGTTGTGGAAAAATGCGATGTCGTAACCTGTGAGTCAAACATGTTTTTTGTTCATGTTTTTGTTTTTTGTTTGTTGCGGTTGCACCCGATTCAAGAGCTGAATGGCTCACAGGGCTATACCTAATAAATAAACTTGAACTTGAAACATGTGCAACAACTAAAAAAAATCCTCTACGCGTTACACAAGGCAAACAATGCCTTTTATTGCTGCATGAAATCCTCGCCGTGACTCAAAGACTATTCTTGCGTGCAGGAGAGAGCAGTGCAGCAACAAA